CCAGGGTGCAGGTTCATTTTTTTCACAGCAGTCCCATGCTCTTGTATCAGAAATAACTCCATAATTCACACAAACTTGAAGTATTAATGTGTGGGATAAAACCTGGGAGGTTAAACAATTTAATTGAATGGCTGCAGGCCTTGCCTAGTGCTGTCAGGACCTGTTGTCTCCCGTGACACAGTTCTAATGCTTGTTTGCCATCTTTGCTGTAGGACATCTGGGCAGACTTTTGCAAATGCCAGCTCTTCACGGTCACACGCCTGCTTCCAAATCATACTGCGCCAAAGAGGACAACTGATTGGCAAATTTTCCTTGGTGGATCTGGCAGGAAATGAGAGGGGTGCAGACACAGCTAGTGCTGATCGGCAGACACGAATGGAAGGTGCAGAAATCAATAAGAGCTTGCTGGCTTTGAAGGTGAGCTAATAGGTCAGGGAGCAAAGAGTGATAATCCACGTATGGATTCTGTTCAACTCCGGGGTTATCAGGAAAAGAACAGCCAAGAAAATATTTAGTATGTGAGCAAGCCTGAAAATGGGGTATACTTCCATTTACAGTGTTTCCAGGAAAGCAGTGCAGACTTGTCAGGCCAGACACTGGTACAGCCTCATTCAAGTTGTCTTTTTTTTTTTTTTTCACATATGATTTTTTTCACATACCTGCTGTCCTGTGACAGTCAAATATCTGGTGTATATTTTAAAGGCTATGAAGGACTACAGAGCAGTAGATGTGACCATTGTTCAGCCTGTTGGGTTTACCAGCAGCTGGTGGTTGATAGCCTGCAGAGCTGTCTGAGGAGAGATACTGATACTGCATTCACAAGACTTATCTTTTCTTAGGAGTGTATCCGAGCTTTAGGGCAGAACAAGTCTCACACCCCTTTTCGGGAGAGCAAGCTGACCCAGGTGCTAAGAGACTCTTTCATAGGAACAAACTCAAGGACCTGTATGGTGAGTATGCATGTCAAACACACTGCTTATGGGTTCTGCAATTTGACCAGTACCTGCACATTCTCCTAGAATGAGCGGATTTTGAAGTCAGAAAGCTTCAGATCTCTCTCAAAAAAAAAAAAAGTCATACAGTTTCTTCACAGAAACTTGCCCATGGTGACTGAGATAATAGATTGGTGAGCTATGCCCAGTTCCCATAGAAGCAGAGCTGCAGAAGACACTTTCATACAGTGAATCTGTAGGAGAGTCTGGTGTGCTCTCAAAGGACTTTTCTTCCTGTGGAGGGTGAATCACAGTGGGTGTGCACAAATCAAGTGGAAAGTTTGATATAGGGCTCCTGGCATGTCCAACAGAAGATATAAAGAAAAATGGACTTGACAGAGTGCGTCAACTCTGACCCTTTGTCCTAAAATATCCCAGCTGTGTGGTGAGATCTTTAGAACCATCAACATGAACAAAAGTCAGATGTGAGAGTCACTGAGGTTTCTGTTCTGTTTGCAGATAGCAATGATTTCTCCAGGCATGAATTCGTGTGAGTACACCTTAAACACGCTGAGATACGCTGACAGGTAATGGCCTTTCAGACCTGGGGATTCTAATCTTGCTGCAAAAGGTGTTTTGGCTGCTTTTACTCTGACCTTTGGAATCTCAGGTTCTTTTGTATTGTTTGTAATGGCAACCTGGAGGTTGGTTGTTAGGAGCAAATTATCTTAGAGCTGTCATATGAAACTAACCTGGGTGTTTGCTGTGTGAGACACAACAGAGATGTGTAAAACCATGAGTAATGCCTCCTTTCCTCAGAGGAGTCTACTCTCATGGTAGACTTTGGACTACCCTGGTTCCTGTAGGGAGTTTCCCCTGTCCTGAATGGTTACCTCCATGCCCTTTACTTTTTGTAGTACTTGGGGTCCCGTCTGTAAGGATGTGCCAAGAATGTGTGTCACAAATGAGTGTTTAGGTTACTCAAAGAATCACTGGCAAAGGTATCGGCAAAAGCAGGTTTAAAAATAAAGTGAAAGTACAACAGTTTGTTGGCAAGGTTCACTCTACTACTTACTAGGCAGAAGGCAGTTAAAGCACACAGAGAAGAATCAGACTAAAATCAACCTAAAATGATCTACGTGGAGGCTGGGGAATGGAAAAAGGGGTAAGGATGGGAAAACAGTAAGGATAAAAAGGAATAAGGAAGACCCTCCTGCTGAGTCACAAGGTTCAGAGTGGACTCCCTTGCTAAGCTTAGCCCTGGACTTAACCAATGGTTTAAGTCTTAAGATTTAACCACGCTTAATCCATAGCCTAATTGAAACAATTTAACAAAAGATTCTATAAAATTTACTCTAAGCACAACAATAACTCGCAGGCCTAACTTACTTATGAATCTAATGTACTTAAGAATCTAAGAGAGCAACCTTCACAGTATATTTGCCATAGCACACTGGCACACACTCTGACCTGAGGGACTGTGTACAAGGTGTATGTGCCACCTGCTGTGAAGGGGCTTCAGTCCGAGCTCAAGTGGTGTGTGACTGCCAGAGTGGATGGTTGGACAGGGAAGTTTTTCCTTAATGCAAATGTCTCTTGGCTTTCCTTCTCATAGTCTTCGGGGGTATCTGCCCATGTGAGCTTGTTCAGGGGGTGGTAATGTGCAGTGCTTTAAGTGCAGCTGAAAGTCTCTTGCTGAGCACTGACTGATTGGAGCAGCTGCTTTGTGATGCTGTAGCTGAGAAACTGCTGGAAGAAGAATTTGAGTGACAAATCTTCTTGTTGCAGAGTGAAAGAGCTCAGCCCTCATGATGGAGGTAGTGACATGCAGAATCAGATGGAGACTGAGGAAATGGAGACTGGTGGAGAAGGCTTGGGTCTTCAATACAGTGTACGTGTGTGTAGTGGGCTGAAGAGAACTCAAAGCTGGGAACAACTTGCTGTTCTTACGTGTACTGTTTCTTTCAGTTCTCCAAGGATGAGGAGGAAGATCTCTCTCCCCACATGTTCAACTATCGTGAGGCTATGACTCAAGTTAGTGAACGGGAGGAGAAGGTTGTAGAACAGCTTAGAGAACTGAGACAGGTATGTGGAAGTGGCAAGCCCAGCCCAGGCTGCCTTCTACATGTTGATAGCAGCTTGCCTTGTCTGAGCCAAGTGCTGCTGGGGAGGCTCTAGGCTGTAATGTACAGTGGTGTTACTTTTTCCTCACCACTAACTTTTTCCTCTGGTTTCCTGCCCAACTGGTTAAACTGGGGTGTTTCAGTGCTTTTTGGCCTGCTGGATCCTCTTCCTCTCCAACTAGCAACTTCTACTTGTTGCTAATGAGCACTGACTGCTCCTGCTCTGCAGAAGCTCAGCTCTGTTGGCTGGAGTGCCAGATGTGAAGCAACTAATTGAATTTCCAGAAAGTCAACTTCTCATTACTGTTATCCCTGTAAATATAGAGAATGATGACAATGCTGAGTGAAGTTGACTACCTCCTGGGAATCACAGAGAAACCTGACTATGATCTCGAGACCTTTGTGAGCAGAGCTAAGTACTTCGTAGAGGACGGCTCAAGAAATTTCCTCAGCGTTAGAGGTATGTGAGTGCCTCTCTCTGACGAGCACTGTCACTAATGCTTTTCCAAAGACCTGAAAGTAACCCCAGCATACCTGTGGGGGTTTGAGCACCCAGTCCTTCTGCATAGCTCTCAGCTCTGCTGAGAGGGATAGCTGGGCTGGGAAACTCAGCTTCCAGGTCAGTCACCCTGTCACTCCTATCTTCCTTTACAGAAACACTGGATGCCCTGGGGGCTGCCATGCAACTGGAGGAGCAAGCTAGCAAGCAGATAAGAAGGCAGAGGCCTTAGTCATTACAGCAAAATCTGGTTCACAAGCAATCTTTCACGCACTTGTCTTGTCTTGCATGTCTGTCAGTGGTTTGTGTCAGTCGTTTTAAATGTGGTAGAGTGTCTGCAGGCCACGTGTGCCCAAGGGCAGTGAACACGGCAGCCTTTTTCTCCATGGCCTGTATCAGGGGACTCAGCAAAGTGCTAAAATGCACTCACTACAAGGCTTGGGGAGGAAGCCTGAGGGTCTGCAGTCTCTGCCTGAGAGATGCCTGGCATCTGGCCTTTTGCTGGTGACAATGGTGTCCCCTAATAGAACTAAATACACATGTATAGTACATAACCTTTCCAGATGTGCTTGAAGCACTGCAAAAGTGTTGCAAGTTTTGCTTTTCTAGAAACAAAATGGACTATGTGATTGTAAAACTCAGTATTTTAAGAAGTTGAATAAATAAATGTTCTTGGATTTAATTATCTTCTGTCCTATAAAATATATTTCTTGCTGATTTTGGTAAAGTCTAACAGCCCTAAAGACTGGCTGGTTGTATAGAGAGGCTGATTTCTTGGATGAAGTTTTTTTCCAAAGTCTTTATACTTGTAATGTTTACATAAAAATCACTTGAAATAAGTTTTGTCTCTTAATTTTGAGATCTTGCTGGGTAGAACTTGCCTAACATGGGGGAAGCTAGTTTAGAGGGTACCTATCCTCCTATATAGTGAGTGGCTCAGCTATTTTATCAGGTAAGTAGGAAGGGCCCTGTGAGACTCGTTTGTACCACTGGAGCTTATGTAGGTTTTGAAGATAGCCACAGGATCTTATTTTATATTTCTTCATATATTTCCCATTTTATGCCACATAAAATACACAAGGATGTTCAGTAGCCCCCCAAAATCTGTATTTGAGGGCAGAAATGCAAAGCTGGGCCCTGGCCCATGTGCGCAGTCTGGGTACTGGTGGGTGTATACACCCTGTCCTCTGGGAAAGAGCAGGTTGGGGAGATAGGTGTGAGACGTGCTGCTGCCTGCTCTTTCCTATTTGTTCAGCTCAGGCCAGGGGTTGTCTTGGAAAGAACAAAACAGGCCTGTAGGCTCTAGGTTCAGCAACATTGGATGCAGCTATGCAAGCATCAGATTACAAGGGGAGCCTTCTACTACTATTCCCTCTTTGAGCTGTCTTCTCCCTCTGAAAGTTAAGGGTGTAATTTCAGTGACAGTGCATCCAGCTCTGCACTCACCTTCTGTGGACTGCGTCCTTGACATGTCTCTGGGGATGCTGACTAGAGGGGAGGCCAGTTATTCAGTCTGGACTGGATCCATTTTTGTGTGCCAGGTTTCAGGATGGGCCTGGAAAAGACAGCAAAAGATCTTTGTGGGATGTGGGCAAGCAGTAGTCATAAGCAGCTAAAGAAGGAATCCCTCAACCCCAACAGGATCCTTCTCCACAGCTGGGGAACGTTGTGATGAGCAGTTTAGGTACTGGGGGCAGTGTGGGGCTGAGAACTCTGAAGGTTTCTGAACGGTCAAAGCTGACTTGGATCTGGGCTCTGCCTGCATCATGCTCATATGGCACATCCAGAGTAAAAGGGCTGTTATGCCCTACTGAGTCTGGACAAAAGCAAGATGGTCCTGTTCTGCTTCAGGTGTTACTGCTTTTGGATTACCCAGCCTTTCCCTGTGATACCTGGGTGCAAGAAACAAAGTATTGCCCCTTGTTTGTTCTACCTCCCCACCCTGGACTTAATATTGTTTACTAATCTGTATATCAAATGCAGGAGCCAGAGACCTGATTTCTAGGCCATCATCCCCCTACCCTGGACAGGGGAAGAAGCACACAACAAATGGAGTCTGGGCCTCCTGGTGCAACCCTCATTGAAAATGCTGTGTCCAGCCCTAGTGGCACCAACAGATAGGAAGAAGAGTCCCAAAATAAACAAGAAATGTTTGGCTGTGCATGGATTAGCAGTCACCGTTTAATGATTGGCAAGAGCTTCCTCGTGTTTATTAAAGTCTGGCAAGTTTCTTATGTGACCAAAAAGAACACAGGATTCAAACACCACCACTGTTACTTCTGCATAGCCTGGAAGACTCTCCACGAATGTCTCCCTACCTACCAAGAGTTTTCTGTCATCTGCTTTTGCAGGAAAAGTGTTCTGACAGCACTATCTTGTGGACACTATGGGAAATTCATACTGAATGAACGGATTTCAGCATAAATTGCTGACTTTCCTTAAGTATTCTGCAGTCAGTTGTGGACACTAGGTTTTCTAATGGGTGGCCGATGTCAAAAAAGGGTGTTTCACAGGTATGTGGAGAATACAGGGGCCACAAGCAATGCAGCACCATTCAGCCCTGTGTGGGACCTAGATTGCTTCTAGGCCCAGCCATAGGAGGTGACAGCACCCAAGGCCAGAGCAGACTTCACATCTCCCTGTAAGTAAAACTTCAAGCCAGCTCCAGTGTCAGTAGCAGGGAGCATCTGAGCAATACTACCTGCAGGCAGCGACTCTGCCCCATTCCTGAACACACTCACCCCTGAGCAGCTTTGTGCTGGAGAGATGGCACAGCTGGGGTAGTGCCAGAAAGAGGGGTGAACCCTCTCTGGGAGGAACATGTCCCAGTCCTTTCCTACCCAAAGGAAGCCACATGAAGATCCCTTTCACGGTCCTGTAAATTTTTCTCCAATGTCTCACCCAATGACTTTTGTGGCAGCCAGGGTGAGCCCTGCAGAAGATGAGGGACCCTGAGAGAAACACCCTGCTGGTCGTCCTAGCTGGTCACAGATAGCTGTGTGCTTAGGGACCGTGGTGAACTATTGTACCTTTGGCAGTCTCGTCGCAGCAGGTAAACGCTTTCCTCCTGGGAGGGGTTAATAACGAACCAGGACCTGAGCAGGGAGAGAGATGCATAAATGGACAGATATGACACCACCCGGTGACGGATGGCGGAGCAGCAGGAGTAACAACCTCCATCACAAAAGGCAGTCGTCCCACATCACGTACACCTATTACAATCACACTTAGAGCTCTATTTTTAACACATAAAGGGTTAGCTCCACCGAAATGGAGCCTCAAAAAATTATTCGACACTCGTACTTGTTCCTCTCCACGGAAATCTTTAGTAAAAGGCGAAAGATTTATACGATCTGAAGAGAAACCAGAGTAT